CCCCCAGTGACACAAATGCCAACATGGGGATTACTATTATTATTATTAAATTGTTCTTATCTTACTATACAAGTCTCCTTCCCCTTGCCCCCCAATTCTCTCCCCTATCCCCTGGCTGGGGGGGAGTGAGTGAGCGGCTGGGTTTGACTACAGCCCAGTGCCAGCCCAGTGCAACCACCAGTCTTTTTGGCACCCAAATCACCACACATATGAAAATGACTGGCCAACATCGTGTCTGCACAAGGCACTGTGGGAATTCACTGGGAGCTATTCCTATTCCAGCAGTGCATCCATCGCTGTCTGTTACATGGGGTAACCTGGTCCAGAAAGTACATTCTTACCATCACGCTGAAGAGGAGTCCTTGAATAAAGCCCCTGCACGATTGCAGCTGAACACCAGGGAACCTCCTTAAGAGAGAAGAAAGGGGAGGAGAAAGCCTTGCTCTCAGCTCTAGCAACCCCACCTCCCGATTATTCCATCTTCCTTACAAGGTTAAAGCAAGAAGCTCTCCTCTTCGCCTGTGTCCCTTAAAAGCAGCAGAGGATCCCCGAGGATCCCGGTGGGGTGCAGCCGGGATGCGGGGCTGATGGAGATGGGGAAGGAGACACTGGTGAGAACCTGCGGAGAGCAGGGCAGGGAAGGTTGGTTCTCTCCAGAGGAGAAGAGCGACAGTGTCCTATGAATCCTAAACCAGGTGTTCATTGATGCAGATCTTCCAAAGCAACATGAAAGCAAACCCAAAAAGAAATCACTGAGGGGGGAAAAGGCAACACAAGAGGTAAACAGATTTTTCATTGGGACAATGGCTTTATTTTGTTTGAAAATCGTTATTGTCAGTAGATGTCTAAAACTGGGGACTGAGAAATACATTTACTATTATCTGAATAAAGACTGGCCTGACTCTGACTTCAGAGGCAGCACTAAGTTTAAAAGTCGGATCAAGAAATTAATTCAGGTACCTCTGAATAATTTTTTTTTTTCAGGCATTCACTCTTGAAAACTCTTTTTTAAAAAAATCTGCTTTTCTGTTTTGCTCTCTCTGCTGTTGCTTAAGGTTTTTGAGAAGTAGTATGCACATTGATTTGGGGGAGGGGAGGGGGGTAGAATGTGAAAAAAGAGAAAAAGAGTAACAGAATCAAAACCTAAACTGAAAATGTGGGAAACTGTCTTTAGTGAGATATTCCAAATGCTCTGGTAGCCCTGTTCTTGCAATACTGCCATTTCTTCAGCAAGATCCATGACCTACTGAGCTGGAATGTCTGTTGATATCTTGTGAGGTTACTGTACCTGGTATTTAGGAATCAGTTTTTTGTTTGTTTGTTTGTTATTTTCCCAGTTTAATTGAAACAAGCTGAGATTGTCTACACATTCTGTGAATTGTTTCCACATTCTGACTATCTAGTCTCTCTGAAGGGTAATTCTGGGGCTGCTGAATCTGAACTGGGAAAGAGGAAACACTTTGATAGTTCAAAAGCGCAGCCGGTGAAAGTCAGAGCAGCTGAAAGGCAGAAGAATGTCCCTTGTCTGGAAGATGCACCAAGATAGAGGTTTTGCAACTATCCTGCTGACTTTAGTGTAACTGTAAGGTATAATACATGGGATTGTGATTTACGTCTCTGCAGTGCTAGAGGGGTTACAGATGCTTTTATTCACCAGGTAAAATGAACAACTGGCCTTTTGAGAAAAGCTGCTGGGAGCTGTGACAAACCAAGAGACCAGAGGATTGATTACGACACGGCTCCTGTGGGTTCTCCTCTAAGGCATCAGCTCAGCCTTCCAGCAAGCGCATGCTGAGGTGGGGTTTCAGCAGCCAAGGATGGAAGTGCTACGCCGTTCCTCAGTCTTTGCTGCAGAGGTGATGGAAGTTTTTGACAGGTCTCCCACTGACAAGGAGCTCGTGTCCGAAGCCAAGGCTCTCTGCAGAGACTACATAAATTCGAGGCTCATTCGAGCAGGTGTCAGCTGGAGCAAACCTGAGCACAATGCACCAGTGCCTGGCGGTAAGCTGGCCGAGGTGTCCACCATACTGCTGAGACTAGGTGAGTCCTGTGGGTACAGGTGGGAGCTGAAACCTGTAGGGAGCAATTCAGGCCAGGCTAAGGTTTCTGGAACTGATGAGTGCCAAAAGACTTTTCATGTGATGATACAGAGGTTTTTTCTTCTCTGCTTTGTGCATTTAGATTTGTTTTTTATGATCTTCCCTAAACAGCTCCTTTCCTTGCATTTTCTCAGTCCCTTGGAGCACTGCTCAGCACAGCATTTCTGCAGAGCTCTTTTTTTTTTTTCTAAGGACTTGAAACAACTTAAAAGCATGATGCAGTCCAAGAAAGCCCAACAGCAAACTCATTTTATCTGCGTAAGACTCCAGCTGTGTAACAGTTTTCACAGTAGTTTCAGTAGTCTTTCTCAGCTTGGCATTTGAACAGGTCTTGCAGTGTTTTCTCCAGACACCAGTGACTTGGCTGCTGTGATGCAGCCCAAGCTGGCACCTCATAGAGTACTGCTACCTCTAGCCTTGGGCTTCATCAGTTGCTTACTCACCTGCAAGGACATTTAATTTGGGGGCAGTTGCTTAGACCGTGTGTGTTGGAGATTTTATAAAAGCCACTTTTCGATAACAGTGTGTTGACAGTGTGGTTAATTTTCCTTTGCCTACCTTAGTAGTTCAGCAAGACATGAGTTTTCTCGCTGTTTGTTGGAGCAAGGAGGAGTTGGCTGATGCCACCTAACTTACACTGCCATTCAGTGCCCAGACTAGACTGCTGGGGCTGCAGGAAGAGCGATCTGAAGGTTATGTCTGTAGGCAGTTATGTGAAGATGTGCTCTGGAGTTGTGCTTGTACCAGGAACGCCCTCTAAGACAGTTGCCTGGCCTTTTGCTTTAGGTTTTAGCCTCCTGCATGGTCAAGTCTACCCATTTGTCTTTTGGGATCTGGATAGACTCATTCTTGGAAGTTTGCTTCCAACATCCCTCTTTCCTTGCAGGCTGGTCTATTAATTCACATCTGCCACTAGCATTTGCTTCTGATTTAATTACACCAAAGTTCAAATAAATCTGGTGAAGCTGGGCCTAATCAACTGAGGACCAGGCTGGTCTCCCCACTTTCTCCCCTTTCTTTGTGCTTCTGTTTGATATTATCACAAGTTTCTTTTTAAGGCATAGCTGTGTTTCTTTTAACTGACTTTTCTCTTTCCCCCATTAATTATTTTTCACTTTTTCTCTCCTATGCTGACTTTACTTCTATATTTTTTTTCCAGTGGTTGTTTGGTCTTTAGGATTTTTTTGTTCTGGTGTCAATCTCACTGCCTCTTTGTTCTCCATTTCTTCTCTGCCAGGGTTGGGAGTTGACATTTGTTTGCTTTCAACCAGATCTTCTGTGGGTGGCCAGGAGCATGTTAAAGGGCAAGCAGGTGGCAGACTGGATCTGAAGGCGTCTTCTGGATGACTCTCGTTACTTATTTGTGTCCAGATGGAAAGATTTGGCTGATAGTCACAGGAACTTGGCACCTTCTCTGAGCAAATCTGTTTGGAGAGTGGTACCCATGCAACAAGAAGGGTGAGCAGTCCTCTGGATTAGGGTGAAGAGTTGTTTCTGAACTGTTTGTTCAGAAACGCTGCCTGCCACATGGCCCGTCCTGTTCTTTTCCCCTTTGCAGTTATAACCACTACAAGGCCAAGTGGTGTCCAGCCACCTGCCAGGAGCAGTAGTCCTTAGCTGCTTACTAAGCAGTGTAACAAGCCAGACCAGTTTTTATTCCGTGATAGTGCTGAGAAACCTGTGGAGATGAGAAGGCAGAGTATTTCCCAGCCCTCTCTCATGTGCCAAAGCAGTAGAAAGTCTGATGAAGTGGCTGGTGGGCACAGGTCTTGGGGAGTGAGAGCCCATTAGCTCAGTGAGGCTTAGCAGCTAATTAGTGCAATTAATGAGTCACAAGTGGTAAAACCTAATGGTATGGCCAAATGAGACACCCCAGACCAACTTGCCGTATGTGTCAGAGATCTGGTTTATCTCAACTTGTCTTTCCAGTGTCTAAGGCCCAGGCAAGTGCCCTTTCACCGCTGTGCTGAGCTTCTGCCTGTGGGAACTATCACTGCTGCCCTAGTTATTCCTCTGTGATAACTGAAGGAAGGAGAAGCACAGAAATTGCTCTAAATGTTGCAACATGCACAATTGGGCATCTGAACATGGACACCGAAGACTGCCACCAATGTAACATGCTGCTGGAGAGGTCCTGGGGCCGCAGGGACAGGGAGTCTCCATGAGCCTGGGATAGCTTTCCTCTGCTTTTCTTCCTCTGCTTTTCTTCCTCTGCTTTTCTTCCTCTGCCTGCTTTCCTCTGCGTTGCTGCAGGGCAGGTCCTGCTTCAGCAGCATGTGAGCCTCCAACCAAAACCTGATCTCATCTGGGGCCTCCAGGCATTGCTTGTTCAAAGCTGTAACAGTGGGAGGCTACCAAGCTCTGATCCCAGCCTCCCATGGCTCCCTCCCAGCTAACCGGGCAGGGCTATCCCCGTTTCCTCGCATTTACAGGGAAGCCTGTGTGCTTCCTGAGAGGAGAAAACAGCTGTTAAGTAGTGCAAGTAACGTTTCTTCTTATCAGGGCTGACCATGTGTCGACAGGATTTCCTGCTGCCATCAGATTGTGTGGGACAGTCCCACACACACATAGGGCCTGGAGAGCTCATCTGTGGAATTCTGTAGAGCTGGGCTTTGCCTTTGCTGTGTGTAGTGCCAGTGACCAGTCAGATGAATTAAGGTCCAGTAGCTAATGACTGTAACAACCTCCTGACTGGGGTGTCATCTTCCTTTTCAGTCCCCATCTAAATTAAATTTTCTGGAGGGTCAGTTGCTCTTTGACTAGGGCAAGTCATCTGGGTCATGCAGTGGGATGTAAAGCTGTTGTGACAGCTCTCCTCTTCCCCCTGGGTGCTCCAGAGCACCCTTGTGCAGGAGAGACACAGTGTCCTAAATCTAAACCAAACAGGACTCTCCACACAGAAAGGCCCTTGGTCCCATGCAACATTTGCATTATGTAATGCTCCTACAGCAGCTCTGCAACCTGCATTAAGTATCTGTGAACCCCTGTAGAGAGAGAAATCCATTGGAAACTGGGCTTTCATAATTCTACTGTTCAAAAGGGGTTTGTTTTGCTACAGAGGAAAAGCTTTACGGCTGTTGCCCAAGCTCCAGAGCACACACCTGTGGGAGGAGGTTCTCTGCTTGTCCTTGAAGACCATCTTAGTCTTCAAGCGAGGCTAACACCTCCAAGCATTTCCCAGCTGGGAAGAAAACAACCTGGAGTTTAAAGCAAGTGTCTGTGTGTGTGTTGGGAACCTTGTTGCTGAGAAGTCAGCCAGGCAAATGAACATCTCTAACCATTTGGAGGAGAGAAGGAATTGCAGATCGTCACTTGGTGCCTGCGAGCGTAGAATAGCTGAGCTGATAGTCTCTTTGGTCTGTTAATGTTCTGTAGCTCTGGGTGGATTCTTGGCTTTCATCAGCCTCCAGCATTCTTGAGTTGCTCTCATCTTGAGGCTTTTTTGTACAAGTCTGATGGGGTGTTGAGAAAGGGCATTATCTCTCAAAAGCTTATGTGGATGTACATGCCTCCTCTTCACTTCTGAAGAAAAATGAGGTGGCTTTGCTTATCTGAGGCCTGTCTCCTGTGTTGGAGGAAAGGCAAGCATCCAGCCTGGGAACATCATTTACGTCAGGGATTACTGCAGCCACTGCCTGTCCCCACTCCCTTTAGACGTCCCATGCACAGGAGATACTAGGAAAGCAGGGTGCAGGTGGCAGGGGGTTGCATCTAAATGACCCTAAGCACTCTGCTGCATGTTTAAAATAAGGTGGAGCTGGGGTGAAGTCTCTTCAGCTAGAGGAAGATGTGGGATGGCCCCAGCTGTAATTCCTAAATGATGAGAGCAGGACTTGGTGTTCTGCATGCTGACTCCTGACTGTTTCTTTCCAGGGGATGAGCTGGAATACATTCGCCCCAACGTCTACCGGAATATTGCCCGCCAACTGAACATCTCGCTGCACTCGGAGACAGTGGTGACAGACGCCTTCCTGGCAGTAGCTGCACAGATTTTTACTGCAGGTACCATGCCCTCACAGATATGTAGACAGGACTAGGCAAAAAGGAACAGGATGGAGCCCTCTCTCACAGAGAAGGCATGGTTGTGGGATGGCTTGCAAGATGGGGCATGGTTTTTGAAAGGGCTGTGGGCAGTTTGGCAGTGTGCCCTGCTTTAATGATTTAATGAGAACTCCTCTGTGCTCTGTTGTTCTCGCAGGGAAATGCCCTGGTTTATTATACCCTCCTGGCAGGTTCTTGCTTGTTCTAGAAGGCACCTCCTGCTCTTCCTCCTTAGGAGGTGGTGTTACCTCACTGCACAGGGAGGTCACTCATTTCAAGCTCCTTTGCTCACCATTGGCAACTGGAGACGATTCATTACATGGGAGTCTCCCTTGTTCCAGCTCACGCCGCTGGTGCTAGGAGCCAGAACCAACTCATCACAGGGGAGTTCCTCTCTTTCTGGCTTCCTTTTCCCCAGCAACAGCCAGAACTGCAATGGAGCTGCTGCTTCTCCTTTCTCATACTCAGAGAGATGGGAACATCAGCCCTTGAGGCTGGCTGTTCCAGACAAGCAGGTGCTTTGAGCTTTCTCACTGCTTGGACATGAATGTTCTTCTGCTTCTGTTTGACTGGTCCCAAAGACGATTGTCAAAAGATGATTGCTCCTGTGAGGAAACCTCAGCCTCCCTGAAAACAGTACCTGCCTGCCATTGGGAATGCAGTCTGGGGGAATCAAGGGAAGAGAAATATTTTACATGGAGATTTATGGCAGGCAAGTCCTGATACGGTTGTAGGATTTCTGTGGTGTCTCCTGCTGTTGTCCATGGAAGGGACAGTAGATATTAGAGACTGGAAACAAAAAAAGAAAAGAAAAGAAAAGAAAAGAAAAGAAAAGAAAAGAAAAGAAAAGAAAAGAAAAGAAAAGAAAAGAACCCAACAACCAAACAACAAGAGACCCCCCCCAAAAAAAACCCCCAAACCCCAAGACAGCTATTCGTGAGCAGCATAGCACTGTGAAAACACTGACATGGGAAGTGTCACAGGAGGCATTAATTCTTGTTACTTTTGGAGTAGTTGGTACAGGATAGATGTCCAGGTTTCTGTTGTACTTTCAAATACACTTCCTCTCTCAAAATCTTTTGCTCTTGACTATCAGCTATGCATCTTTATGTGTATGAACTGCATGGGAACCACTGACACCCTAGAGAAGCTCTGTGCTGACATCCTGGACTTCAGATCTGAAGTGTGTCATGGTGGAGAGCACAGATACTCTGCAGAGTCACAATAGATGACAGAATAGATGTCTGAGAGGGACTGCTCTCCTCGCAGGTCAAGCAGGACAGATTTACTCCCCAGATCAGGGAAACTGAAGCTGTGTCCTAGGAAATGGATGGAATTGGATTCTGGAGGCAGTACTGCAGCCCTCGGCATCCTTTCAGAGCGTGCCTGGAATGCAGATTGCCTTTGGGAGGCCACATGGGCTCAGAAAGCAAGTATGGCAGGAATGTCTGAGCGTGGCTGTGTTCAAAGTGTGGGTGCCCTATCTTGTCACTTAGTTCTGAGCGTCAAGGCCTACAGAAGAACGAAGGTCAAGTTTGCCGGCTCAGGTATTTGCATTGCAGGTAAGTAGGTTATCTTCTTAGATTACTAAGAGTGACTACATCAGACTTAGATGACTATAGCTGGCCCACCTCCAGAGCTGGAGTGACACAGGGAATGAAGCCAGAAATGTGGATAGCTGCAAGTGGAACAGACTCTGTGTGGTGCTGTGCTGCATAAACATGATGCTGAGGAGAAAGCCCTGCTCTCAGTAATGTATATTGAGACCTGGGTTTTTTCGGTGTTCTTCAACTTCTCAGCTCAGGAGTCAAGTGAAAAGGGTGGATGGTTTAAAAGCTAGAAGTTGTAATCTTGGTTCTAAACTTGGGGTTTTCAAGGTAGTAAGAATGGGATCTGGCAATGGTAGAGTCTTTGGGAACATGGTAGAAGCCCAGGCTCAAGCTCTGTTGCTTGTGCTGCCCCTTGTCTGGAGACAAAATGCTGTATAAATGTCTGGCAGTTGGCTGGCTGCACGGGGTGTGGGTTCAATCCTTCCTGATGCTCTGTACACTCCATTTTTTCTTCTTTCTTATCTCTGCCTCAGAGCAACTAACAGGATAACCTGTGAGCAAGAAGCTGGGGTTGTGTCTCCACTTGCTTTTATCAATTCATTGCTGTAATTTCTCTTGCTAGAAGGCTGATGAGTGGCAGAGGGGGAGGAGTTTGCTGATTTTTAGCATTCCTGGATCCCAGCTGAAGTCTCAAGACTCAGCAGTTAATGTTAAATCCAGCAAATCAGAGTTGGCTGTGGCAGCCAGACATTCATTCCTATTTTTTTTCTTAGGTCAGAGGAAAGAGGCTCTTACTGAGCAAAGGAAACCAGAGACTCAAGTTCAGTCTGAGTTTTCATGCCAATTACCAATGGCTAAAGCATCTCAGCCTGTTTTCCACTGTCCGGTTTATTAAGAAAACAGTCTGACACTGCAGTGCCTAGACAGTCTGGGGAGCCCTGTTAGTCACTCCCTCTCCAGCAAGGGAATGGGGGATTTTGACCCTATCTTGCTGGAGAGATTTTCTCTTTAATCTTTTACATGGCCTTCTTTGACATTCTGGTCTGGTTTTGAGTCTTCACGCTGTACCTCTGGCTGTGCTCACTTCCTGTCCACACTGTCTACAAGTCTTAATTTAAGCACAAGCCCTGGATGGACCTCTCAGGAAGGCTCTCTCTGAGAACATCTGGCATCCTTCTTGGTCCCACTGCATGGGTACGTTGTGCCATATTCAACTTTACAACTTTCTCTAGGGCCACAAAATTGGGGAAGGGTTTAGAGGGGAAGCCGTATGAGGAGAGGCTGAAGTCGCTTGGATTGTTCAGCCTGGAGAAGAGGAGACTGAGAGGAGATCTCATCACAGTCTAGAACTTCCTCCCAAGGGGAAGAGGAGGGGCAGACGCTGATCTCTTCTCTCGGGCCACCAACGAATGCCAGGAGCAGAGGAAATGGCAGGAAGATGTGCCAGGGGAGGCTGAGGTTGGCCATGAGGAAAAGGTTCTTGAGGCAGAGGGTGGTGGAGCACTGGGACAGGCTCCCCAGGGAGGTGGTCATGGCACCAAGCCTGACAAGATTGCAGAAGCATTTGGCCAAGGCCCTCAGACACATGGTCTGAATGTTGGGATTGTCCTGTGCAGGGACAGGAGTTGGACTTGATGATCATTGTGGGTCCCTCCCAACTCACAACATTCTATGATTTTCTGTTCCAGTTATCTTGGGTTTGGCTTTTCTCTGTGTCGTGGTTTGACCCACAATTGGGACCATGTGGTCCTACATTCACTCCCCCAACACAGTGAGATGAGATGGGAGTCACAACAAAGCAAGCACGGGATTAGGAATGCAGGACAGGGAGGG